AAAGACAAAAGAACCCACTACCACTATTCCTTTGCGTAAATCCACGATTGTTAGTCTCTCAAAGGTTAATACTGCGTCTAAAAATCGCACGCGTACTACAGTTAATAAGGATACTCAACCCAAATTTAAGTCAAATACAGTATCATTTGAAGGCAAGGTACATTTGGTTATCAATAAATATGTTCTATCTGCAGTATTGCATCAGCTTTGTGTTTATTTCAACACTGAATCACATTGATGGCTATCTATATGTTTCATCTTTTGTAGACTCCTCTTGTGAAAACAAAGACGAAAGGACCAACTACCACTATTCCTTTGCGTAAATCTACGATTGCTAGTCTTTCAAAGGTTAATACTGTGCCTAAAAATCGCACGTGTACTACAGTTAATAAGGATACCCAACCTAAATTTAAATCAAATCCTGCGTCACTTGAAGAAATATTATCAAGCAAGACTGCCAGTGATGCTGACAAAAAGAGATCTCAAACTTTAATTGGACGCGGACTCAGGCCCAAGTCAACCGTTGGAACTGCCAATCGTGTGACTGATTTGTCCCGATCTCGGATGACTTACTCTTATCGTGTTAAGGTATTTTATATGATTTATTAAAGTTGGTCTCATGTAAACATATACCGATTTATTTTAAAATGAATCTAGAAGCCTTGTGATTCAAGAGCGTCACTTTATACTGGTGCTTTACGACTTTCCCGTACAAATAATATGAAAAAGGAACCTCGAAAATCTTTAATTGCCAGTAAGGTAGGGAAATTATTTAAAAGATGTAATCGGCTTAATCGGTTTTTATCACAATAAATATACTATCTGTCTGTATCGAACCATTTATATCTTTGATAATATTCGTTATATACCTAAACAATAATCATTATAAAATAAAGGTATCATCATCTGCTCGGGTGTTATCAACTATTCGAGAATCAAGAATTCCACCGAAACTAGAGCTACAAGTGAACAAACCCAATATTAGGCAATCATTTGCGCCCCAGAATTCGACAATGTGTGAAGCGTCGAAAGATTTATATTTGAACAAGCATAATGTTAGGCAGTCATTTGCAACTTCTGCAACTCCTGCTCCTTTACTGATGACACCTGCTCGAAGATACCCACCATCGATCGCCAGGCGTATCACTACATCTACATTTTACATGAGCAAAGGAATAAATGTATTAGGTCAGTACTTTTTTTTTTTAATGAAAGATTTGTACTTTTTAAAAGATTTACATGCACATATATATATATATATTTATTATTTATTTATAACGAAACATAAAGGCTCAATTAAAGCGAATCGCCTGACAATGTTATCAAATTTGTCAACATCGAATCATCGTCAGTCAACTATACAGCAGAAAAATTCTGAAATAACATCCGATTCTTTGTTGGAACCAATGAGAAATTTAAAGTTACGCAGGTTATCGCGGAAGCCTATAACGATAGATGATCTCAGGCCTTTGATAAATAACGTAACTACATCACAACCGCTTGGTCTCTTTAACAATAATACATCACCACAGAATATAATTAAACCTGTAAAGAAAGAAACCACACCACCAAATGTTAATAAGTGTGATTCTCGATTGGACGTGATGATCCCAATTCAAAAAAATCAAGAGGAATGCATAATCAACGTTGATAACAAATCTTCATCTAGTTTTGATAACAACTGCGATGATTTTTTTGGTATTAAAGATGCAGGAACGAGTAATATCGCCACATCTTCAAAAATGGATGAAGTCCTTGAATTAGCTGCATCGATTCCTTTACCGCCAAGTCCAGTTTCGAATAATGAAGCATTGAATGTAGACAAGCAACAAAAGCGTGAGGATGATAAAGAATTTCCGAACGACAATCATCTCCCAACAGTTGAAGAATTTCGTTTATTTGAAGAATTAGAAAAACTTGAAAAGCGACTAGAACAAGAAATCTCTGAAGTAGAGTTTAGAACCGGGTTATAGTAAACCGGGTCACCCGTGTCAAAACGGTTCAACCGGGTCAAAAATTTACAA